GCAGATTAGAAAGCGACTATAAGTCGCACACACTAGCTGTGTGCTGAGTGGCTGCTTATCGGTTTTTGGTGGAATAAACATATATTTCCCCACAGCTCTTTATATGTAATACACTGAATGGCTCTCAGTTGAACTTAAAAGCTCGCGCGAAAAAGTTTGTGAAAATGTGCGGATGCTTTGCTTGGATCCTGATGTTCATGGTGATCAAATCAATATATAGTTATGGACATTTTACATGTGAAGAAGACGGAATGAGCAAGAAGTTAAGTTTAGCCTGTAACGGCGATAAAGACTGTTCCCATGGCAGCGATGAGTCATACATGAAGTGCAAAGAGCTGGTTCAAGAATCCCCATACACATTCTTCTGCGCCTATGGAGGTCAAATTAGTCAGTATAACTATTGCAACAAAGTGCCCAAATGTGCCGATGAATCTGATGAATCTGCCAGTCTATGCGAGAGCGAAAGTCAATTTAATAAAACAAAGAAGGGCAACTGTAAAGAGTACGTCAAAAAATAAAACAACATAACATTTCTACCTCGATCTTAAAAGAATATCGTCAGGAATTCAAATGCCAATTTAGTTTCTCAGGGTGCGTAACTGTGATAGCTTTAGATGATTGTGATTCACACTGAGGGACATTGCCATTGTAGAGTAAGCAACAGCTTGGGTCGGTTTTTAGATAATCAGTGGGAATAATGTGTAGATTTTCCAAGTAATTAGCTAACGCAATAATAATCATAACTGGTTAATGCTATACAATTCATTAATACGCAATTTTGCAAATGTAAAAATATCCTTTTGCGGAACATATCCATCGAAATGAGTTAAATATTCTAGTCGCGAATGCCTGGCTTACGTACTTGGATTTTTGAATTATGGGTTTGTTGCGGAATGTCAGAAAACTTGTTGCAAATAATAACATTTAATTATTTATATATCGAGACTTGGCGAGTTATCAAAAAACAGATAAGCAACTTGATTTAATAATCTAAAAATAAGACATGGCTGGTTGCAAGCCATTGCTGATCAATGGTCATAATTACTTAATGATTTATAAGCAGAAGTGAATTTAATGTTTCAATAATACACATATTCACTATGCAGATGTGCATACATTATGAATTATAATACAAGAGCTTCTGAATAATATGTATCTAAAAGATCTAAAATTCGATCAATCAATGTCCATTATCGATTTTTATCGATTTATGAGTAGTAATTTTTCATGAGTAGTAGTTTTCCAATCTGTAGCTATCATTTTCTGATCTCATATTGCAAACAGATTCGGCTAAAAATGCATAATAAATTTATTTGTACAAGTTCTTTAAAGCATTTCTTCAGCCGCGTTATGAAAGACAGTTAAACTTTATTTGCAGAGGTGAAATGGAATGTCTGTCCGGGGAATGCCTTCCAGAACAAAAAATGTGCGATGGGAGGAACGATTGCATCGACGGGCGGGATGAGTCTGTGAATTTATGTATGAAACTTTATAAATCGGGTCATTTTCAATGCGCTAATGGCAACCTTATTGAAAAAAGAAAAATCTGCGACAATGTATTCGATTGCCCCGATGGCTCCGATGAGCTGTTAAAATTCTGTGTTGGTAAAAAGGATTGGATACGGAACCCACCTAAAACGTGTGTGGAACCAACAGAGAATGGACTACGATTTACATATGACACAAAGTATCATTTGGCAAACGGAACCCGATTCGTTTATGCCAATCAGGCGGTTGTCTTTGAGTGCTACGACCGCAATGCTAAAATGATTGGTAGTAAGTGGAATGTATGCCTATATACGGGTGAATGGAAAAACTCTCAGATACAATGTCGATCGAAGCCAGTGAACAACAATCCCAGCACGAATGGGACTAACGGATGTCCCATAAACACATACGTCAAGGATCTATTGCTGATCTATAAGTGCGTGGATGGCAATTGCTTAACACGGGTGGAGCCGCCTATAAATGATATGAGAGTACAGTTTGCATGCGCGAACGGGTACTTATTGACACCACTTGACTTTGGGGAAAAGATTTTCAGATGTTTACATAAGCAATGGAATTCGAATAATGTCTACTTCACGGACCCAGTCTGTAAAAGTAAGTACATTTCCTTAAATATAATAATCCCGCTTGACTGACTGGGTGTGAATAACGCACAAAAAATTGATTGAAGTTTCCATTCGCAAAGTGTCCAATCGCGAAAAAAGTTTGGGTGACATTCTTTATACCCTGAACCCATTAACAATCGGTGTAAGGGTATATTGTATTTGTGCAAAATCCAAATGTATGTAACAGGCACAAGTAAGCTTCTCCGATCCCATAAAGTATATATATTCTTGATCAGCATCAATAGCCGAGTCGATCTAGCCATGTCCGTCTGTCTGTCCGTCCGTCCGTCCGTCCGTCCGTATGTAAGAACGCAAGGATCTCAGAACCTTTAAGAGCTAGAGAAATTTTAGATGTAGATGCTCCTAGTTCCCGCGCAGATCGAGTTTGTTTCCGATAATCGATAACTTCCTCCGTTTTCAAGCAATCGATAAAAATCTATATCGATATCCTGTTTTTTGGGCAAATTTGGTAAATAATAAGAGCTAGAGTCACCAAACTTGACATATAGCTTCTAAAATAGAATATATATATATATATATATATATATACTTGATGCCCCTAGTCGGGAGCTCCCGACTAGAACCTCTTACTTGTTTTTTGTTGTTGTCTGGTGTGGCTGTTCAGAAAAGACGGCGTCGTGTAGTTCGGTTAGTTGCGAGTTCGATCGCTTAATTTATCTTTATTACTATATACTAGCGCGGCAGGGTATCCGGGAACTCCCGACTAGAACCTCTTACTTGTTTTGTTATCATATTGAAAGATACTAATCAAAGTTAATTTAAGACGGGAGCTCAGGGTAGTATGTGTTAGAGATGGGCAAAAGAAAATTCGATCCCGCCCTGCCCAAAATTTTGTTAGCAGTGAAAATGTTATTCATGTTTCAATATTCCCATGCAGAACTTTTGTGAAACTTCAAAAATAATTTGGTCACGGATGACTGGGTAATATATCCTATAGCTTATGTAAATATAATCATAAAATGCCATTTCTAATAGTAATTTATTTAATTTAAACAGAACCATGTAATCGGACTAACTTATTCTGCAGTGATTCAATGCATCCGAGGTGCGAATATAATGGTATTGAGAACTATTATTGTAATGGGACGCTATTGCCAGGCACCAAAGCCAATTATTTCTGCAATTATGGATATACAATTAACCCGAATATGAGTAAATTGCAATTAGAGTGTCTTGAGGATGGAAATTGGTTGAATAGCAGAGATATGGATAAGTTCTGTCAACTGAATTGCGGTAAAACTGGAGGAGAGAAAAATCCATTATCGATAGGGGCGTATCCCATAAAATCTAACAAAGCCCCTTGGACTATAGCACTTTATATAAAAATAGAAACCAGCTTCGAATATGTGTGCAGTGGGGTCAGGTTAAACCCCAATTTAGTGCTCACTGCTGCACATTGCGTTGTCAAGACTAAAACCAAGGAGTTGTTGCCTTTTGAGTTTTTCCGGGTGGGCAATTCTAAGAGTAATCTCCGGATAGTCAACGAACATTTTGGTTGGGCGGTTGAGGATGTGATTCTCCATAGGTGAGTAATTCCCAATGTGGCTTATATAATATTTGGATTAAGTCGTTAATTATTAGTTTGTTTTCCATAAAGGGCTTATCTTCCGGAATTTTTAAATGGGGATATCGCTCTGATAAAACTGAAATACAACACCAAAGACGTTAACGAAGGGCCGAGTACCATTTGTTTGCCTTGGGCTTACAACAACCATATGACGGAAATCGACAAAGAAAGTGGCATGGTGTTCTCGTGGGAAATACATAATTCAACGTTTTTAAACCTGACACTAGTTACGACTGAAATAGAAGAGAAGGAGTCAGATGGCTTTCGCATAAACATACTTAACAATCAAAAGATCTGCAGTGGTGACAGTGGCAGCGGCTTCGGCGGGGACTGCTATGATGAAAAAAATCAGAAGACTAACCAGACTTGCGTGTATGGCGTGGTGAGTTATACAAATGCGGGCATGGATAATGATAAATGCGCTAAAAACATTGTTGTCTTGGACATACGCCATGCCCAAAACATGGATTTCCTAAAAGAAACTATCAAAATGCTATCGAAAACTTGTGAAGATATTTTGTAATTGAATAAACTATTTTTCAACACATAACCCATTATTTTCGTTTGTATGTTTCATATATAATTTGTATAATGGAAGTGTTGAGAAGTTCTGGCCAAAGTGCCTAAATTATGTTAAAGCATGAGATTGTTGTTATTTCAATAACAAAAGTATTTTCTATAAGTAAGCGCTTGACTCATTCACTCTTCATTTCAGTCTAAAATAATGATATGAAGAAAGCACCCAGAAAGTTTCATACCCTTGCAGAGGGTGTTCTTGTGAGAATAGTGAAGCACTTAAATGTTGAATTTAATGACCGATTTATCCAATAGTGCTGTATAAAAACAAGTAATTATTCCAACATCAAATGAAGTTCGCGCAATGCTCTCTTTTGAAGTGATAAAGATAAATTTAAAAAAAAGTTCCCTTAACAGGGTTCGAACTCGCAACTGACCGCATTACTTGCTGACAACTCTACTCAACGCCACACCAGCAAAAAACAAAAAAAAAAAAAAAACAGTTTCCCCTGTAGGGCTCGTACTCGCGACAGACCACACCACTTGATATGCCTCTACTCAACAGCCAAACCGATAATTGTGTATAATTGAAAAAAAAAAAAAACGAATTAAAGTAGCAGCACACAAAACAATACAATCGCAATTGCAATGCTGTTGATAGAATTCGAAGCAGACGCGCAGGAATGTGTGTGTGTACATGTATTCAAGATATACAACTTAATAAAAGGGGTCAATATATTCTGCCTACTCAAGTAGACATTGATGTTCTGATCAGTATACAAATCAAACATTTCCGATTCGTATAAAGACAATTATATTTTCACCATATGTAAATATTTTTATAGTACGGAATGCGTAGAGTACTCAATTACCTTGAAACACTTCGAAAAGTGCGCCCCAAACCTTGTGTCGAAACCATTGTCACCGCCAACTCAATTGGCAAGAAAAACACTTCATCCGGACACAAGCGCATCACAGCTGGGAAAATATCCGGATCACAGGCCGCCGATGAGCGCTGGCAGAATTTGAAACGTGTTCTACTCACATGCGGGGGTCACCAGGAGCCAGAGGCAGCCATGCACTTGGGGGGCTTTGATGGAGAGGTCCTGGTAGATGTACTGGAGGTGCAGCGTTTTGTGAGCGATGTTTTCGCGGCCATGGACGTGCCCGATGATGCGGCAAGCGAAATGGCCGATGCTCTCATTGCTGCCGACTACATGGGGCAGCGCAGTATGGGAATTCATCGACTGCCAGCCATTGCAGCCGATCTGCTCAACTTAACGGTCGACCCCCGCATGCAGCCAAAGTTACTAAGTGAGCGCGATGCGCTGGCTCTTGTGGATGGCCAGAATGCACCCGGGCCGGTGGTGGCCAATTTCTGCATGGATTTGGCTATACGCAAGGCGCGGAATCAGGGTATTGGATATGTGGCAGCTCGTCGCTCAAACACTATTGGAATGGCATCATGGTACACCTGCCAGGCGCTCTCGCATCGCATGATCGGCATCTGCATGTCAAATGGTCCACCCATCCTTGTGCCCTGCGGTGGGTCTGAGCCGCTGCTGGGTGGGAATTCAATTGCCTGTGCGGCGGGCAGTAAGCAGGAGCAATTCCTTATGGACCTGGGAATGTCCGCTTATCCCATTGAGCAACTGCAGCTGGAGTACTCCAATGGGTATTTGCGCCAGCTGCCCGATGATCTGGCATTGGATAGCAGTGGTAAGCCCACAAACTGTGCCGCGGAGGCGCTGCGTGCTCAGCGCCTGCGTCCTTTCAACCCCGAGCACAAAGCCTTCGGTCTGGCTGCCATGGTGGATATACTTTGTGGGGTTATGACAGGGGCCTGCTATGCAACGCATTTACGCCATCGCAGCTTGTTTAGCTCTGACAACGAGTTGGCTGATCTAGGCCAGGTCTATATAGCTATTGATCCAATGCGCTTTTGTGTGTCTTTTGAGGAACGGCTTGCTGACTTCCATCAGCTGCTGCGCAATGTTATACCCTGCGACCCAATGCAACCTCCATTGATACCTGGTGACAAGGAGTTGCAGCATATGCAAATGGTTGACGATCAAGGTGGATTAATTCTGTCACCTAGTACGCTCAGCGTCATACAGGAGCTTGGCGAACGTTTTAACATAGATCCTCTTAATCATAAACAGAGTTTAAAGTAAATTTCTTATGAGTGCTGAAGGCTACATCAAGTGTTGCATGAACAGATAAAAAAAATGGCTGAATTTTATTTTATTTTATTTATATAAACTAATCATATAGTTGAAACTATATGATAAGTGGATATCGGCAATGGCTGCCAGGGTCTTCAGCTGGACAGTAAACACTTAAATTTAGGTATTATACTGTTGAACAGTGGGTTTGGTTGTTTAGCTTAGTTTACTTAAAAATAGTCATATAACTGGGATTTTTTAAAAAATTTTGTAATTTTACATATATTTTCTTCATTAGCGTTATTTATCGGATTTTCGTGTTTAAAAAACTCTTTTCTAGTGTTGTTTAGGGTGGGATAGGATTCAAGTATGTGTTTTATGTCAACTGTTCTGTTGTTGTTATGACATAGTGAGCATGTGGGTAGAATGTTGTGCTTTAAATAGTGTTCATGGTTAGCTCGGTGTGGCCCAATCGTAAACGAATTATTTTAATTTGGTCAAGTCGGTTTATGTTATTGTGAGATGTTTTGTTCATGTAATCATTAATGTGTAATGAATTGGGATTTAAGTGTCTGTACCATATGTTACACCGTGAAATTTGATTTTTTTTCTCTATATTAACTTTGTTTTTTAAGTGTCTGTATTTATCGTTAATGTTATTATTTTGTTTGTAGATTAACGGCATTTGGGTGGCTGCTTTTGCTATGCGATCTGCTAACTCATTTCTTTTAATTTTGGTATGACCAGGGATCCAAATAAGCTTTACTTTAGGAAAAAGGTTACTTAATAATGATCTGATTATGGATGGATAATGGTCGTGGTTGTTTATGTTTGAGATGGAGTCTAGGGCGGATATGGAGTCGGAACATATTATAAACCTTTCTCTCATATTCTTTATTAATTTGACGGCTTCTAATATTGCTACTATTTCAGATGTTAATACTGTTGAGTACTATGGTAGATTTCCATATTTTAGTGTGTGTGTTTCTGTTGTAATTGCAAAACTAGTAATGTTGTTTTGCTGGGAGCCGTCGGTGCAGATAAATGTGTGTGTCTTGTGTTGGTTTTTAATTCTTAAAAAGTATTGTCGGAAAATATGTGATGAAGTTTTTTGTTTTATATGTGTTCTTAGTGAGGTGTCTATTGCGTCCGTAGGTAAAAACCATGCGGGTTCAAGATATGGAATTTTGTTAAGTGTGCATGGAAAATTGTTTGCTATTGATGTATTGATTGATCGTTCGATTGATGAGGTTGTTTTTGCGTTTGTAGTTATATGATGGTGTTTGACGATATAAACTATTGGAGGGTCTGTGGAGCTTAGAAGATTTTTGACAAGTTTCGATAATAAAAAGTTTCGTTTGAGTTCTATTGATGGGATATTTGCTTCTAGAAGGATGTTGTGGATTGGTGTTGAGCGGAAGGCTCCGAGTGACATTCGAATTGCAGCGTTGAAAGTTGTTTTTAGCTTATTTAAAATGATTTGGGTGTGAAGTCATATATAAATAAAGCGTAATCTATTTTAGATATAATTGTAGCTTTTGTAACTGAGAGAAGAGTTATAGTGTTGCAGTTAAATCGTGGGCTAGCGAGACATTTTATTACATTAAGTGTTTTAGATAACCTATAAGATACTTGACATTTTAGATACTTGACATTTTAGATGTAGGTGCTCCTAGTGCCTGCGCAGATCGAGTTTGTTTCCGATAATCGATATTTTACTCCGTTTCAAAGCAATCGATAAAAATCGATATCAATATCCTGTTTTTTTGGGCAATTTTGGTAAATAATAAGATAATAAGTCTCCAAACTTGACATATAGCTTTTAAAATAAAATATATCTATTTATTTGATGTTGGAAGAAGAAATTTCAGGGTTTCCCCTAGTCAGGGAGCTCCCGACTAGAACCTCTCTTGTTTTTTTTAATAAATTAAAGTGGAAATTGTTTCTTTTGTCTATTTAATCCAAGGATATTGACGCAAAGCAAAAAGCGGCGTCTTGAATGACAATCGCCAAACTGTTTCGCTGTCTAATTTGTCAAATGAAAAAAGACGGGTTAATTTATGCAAAATGTTATGAATTGGTTTCAGCTGACTCGAATAACGGCAAGTCAAGACACCTGCTTTAACTAAATATAGCAAAATATTGGATATTAATATAATTGTGTGCGAGCTCTAGTGGTTACAAATAAAAATACTGACGGAAGCGAAATCGATAAAGAGGAAAAAAGGAGAAATCATCTAAATCATTGCCAGAATGATTAATTTGATTTCGACACAACCCTGGCTCAACAGCCCCGACCGACATGGCGTCTGAATAATAAGAGTAAACTTTTAATGACAGCCGTCAACGTGTCCTGAAGCCCTAGTAAATTATGGCACCTTCCCCTATGGCAGGTCCTAGTATCTACGTCATCGATAGTCTCAATTGCTTCCCAATTGCTGCCTAGCGTTAATGTTGCTGGGAGCCAACACCTGAGTTCTGATATCGCCTATTCCACAAGCTGCACACGTGACTGAGCCGCCTGCCAACAAGGGCGCGCGTATTGCGTGGTGTGTTGTTTAGATTTACGACACTGTAATCGTTTATTTGTGGCAATGACAAGTGAAAGACGCACCGTAGATGTAACAGATAAGTCTCGACGTCGCGACACTGGCGCCTGGGCACTCACTTTTAACTCATTTATCTTTTTTGAATTGATTTTTGTCCTTTGACGCTATGTAATATGGGAAGCCTCTTGATTGATATGCTAAAAATCTGATTATAGCGTGGAGTAGACGCATGTATATTTTCTGCGTGAGGAACACGAGTTTATTTTCGAAGTTGACAGATACATCTGTATATCATAAATTGGCAATTAGCATTTTGCTTAACAAAATAAAGAAAGACAAAATATATATATTCATACCCTATACTCAAGGAAGCTCTTACTCTTCCTTTGTACCATTTTAAAATTTCATTGACTATGTTGTTTAAGTATTTATATCATATTTGAAATATTTGAAGAAAAAAACAAGTAAGAGGCCTTAGTCGAGAATCCCCTCTTCTACCAACACCAAATGCAGCGCGCGCAATGAGTTCGTTTGCTTTAACAAAAAAATATTTCGATCAATCGGACTCGAACTCCTACTTTCAACGGCTCTACTCAACATTCACACCAGCCCAGAGAACAACACAATCATAATTGCAATGATGTTGATTGCATTCAATACAGACGCGTATGGTTTTGTGTGTGTACATGTATGCAAAAATTAGTGCGCCTTGCGCTAACTGTCACTGACATTAGTAGATCTTTTTGTGTTATAGAATATTGTTTCATTCTCAAAAAGTCAATTGAATTACACTTGTGGCTTAAAAAAGTGGGCAGTACAAATAATCAAATTAATTGAATATATATCAATTCACATATATTAATAGTCGATAGTATAGTTAACAATGCCAACAGGCTTCTAAGTTCAATATCTGAAGACCTTAAAACCATCTTTCATCATTCAGTCATCGGATTATAACTCTAGCTAATGCAAGTCTGGCCAAAGTTAATGCTCGCTTGTATGATATATTTTATTATATTTAGCTTTTCTAATGATACATTTATTTTTCAATTGTTGCAAATTAGAGATATAGCTTCAGTTCTATTCATATAAAACGCGTTAGCTAATGCAGGCCTTCGTCATAAATAAAACACAGCTTAAATTAACCAAACTTACAGTGGCTTGTATTTATCGACTCTTCCTCTTACATACATATCATGAGACAAGTTTACTAAAACCAGCTATATAGTACCTAAGTTATATTTCTTGGTGGGGACATAGATAATTGACTAAGCGCGTGTGGTTTAGAACCCCAATTTTATTCAATACTAATAATTCTCATTTCTTAACGATTTTAAGTTTTAAAATATTTATTTTTTCCAGTTGATAGTTTTTGTAGCACGTTAAGCAGATTATTTCACAGTTAGGATATCTCTTATGCAATTGTTAATGTTCCCGTAGGTATAAAAAGTGAATGATTTTATGTATGTAAGTAACTGTGAAATTATCGCGTAAGCTTGTTGGACCTGTTATCTAAGTCGCATTTAAAATGCACAGGAGTCTCTTAGAAAAACGGGTGTTGCACCTAGATGACGACGTAACAATAAGTTATGGACATGCTTATGCTTTTCAATTGAAAACTTAAGCTCATTTTGCTTTGTAATGTTGTTCTTTCTGCCCGATTTACCTTGTGAACATTTCTATCTGTTGGTCCTGATGGGCGTTACTGACGCCAGCGTTTTTATTTTATGACTACTGCCAGTGCTTGTTGCTGTTATTCCTTTTTCGTTGATGATAATCCTTAGCGCCCTCTTGTTGATTTTATCAATGTCCTTCCGTGGCCTTGTCGGTCTCCAAAAATCCTTTTTTGTACAAGCGCGTAGTCGTTATGCTTGTTTTATTTTTCTTTCTTTGTATTTATATTTCTTTTGGGTGTTTTAGGTTTATACACATATACACACATACATATATGAACACAGTCTCATATTTACTGAGAAACCTTTTTATAGATTTTTCTTCTGTTGAATTTGCACGATATAACAAGCAAGAATTTAATTTAAAATTCTTGACATTAAACTTGTTTGCGTTACATTTTGCTTATTTTTATTTTGTGTTCTGCCATGTCAGACAGATTTAAGGTCAAACTTGTTTGTTTTTGCACTATTTAAATTAATTGTATACCCAATATAAATAGTTCTGATAAAAAAATGATGACAAAGAAACAAAAAATGAATATGATGCGTTTAAGCAAATGTAAAATCAATTTTCGTTTCAATATATGAAATTGAAAATATAGATTAAAAAAGACACTGACAGTAATTGTTTGCTTAGATTGAATTTAAAGGAATTTAAATTAAAAAATGTTTTAATTATAAAAATTAAAAAAATAAATTAATTTATTAAAAAATTATTTAGTGGGATAAGATTAAACTTTAGGAAATTGGTCAAAATATCGTTATGTTGTTGAGGTACGCCAATATATCCATTTTATCTATGGCTTAATTAATTAGCAATAGCTTTTATAGTTCAATTAAATCAAAGTAGTTTTCGTTGTTAGCAATATGTTCAATTAGCCCTTTAATATTCCGTAGAAATTCCAAATTTCTCGTCTGTGCTCGCCGTTTGGTCAACACGTGTGTTGACTTTACTTCATTTGTTCGCGTGTTTTTTAGGTGCCTTTGGCATGTTGACTTATTCTAAGCGCAATGATTAAAATTGCATGCAAGGCACAGTAAATAATACAAACACATACAAGCACACACGAAGAGGCATGCAATTGCCTTAATTGAACGCAAACGTCAATGACCGTTAAGTCGGCTGTGCGAGTGTGTTGAGTGCTTGTAAACGGATGTACAAAGCGGATGCATACTTTTGGGCGCCAGTGCCACGCACAATAAGATGATAACGCGAACCGGTTGGCAAAATCGACAATTACACGCATGCTGGCAGCGCGGCTTTCTAACGTTAAAAGTAACGATGATACCAGATAAGGCAACGACCCATTCACGCCTAGAAACTTGCAACACTTTTTGTTGATTTCCATGAACGCATTTTCAATTGCCCGCTTTAGCTTGAACTGCTGGCCCCCTTTCTCATTTGTTGGCATTGGCCGCCTGGTAACTGCAAGCCATTCACAGAGACGGAACACACACACAAGCACACGCACATACACAGAGAGAGAAACTGGCCAAGTGCGCGGAGGACCTGGAGCGTCTCATTTATGTCCACGACGCACGAATGAATTCCAACGACTGAAGTCGAAACTTTGGGCCATCGACTTCGGTGCTGGCTGTCAGGCAGCAGCGGCTGCTATGTGGATTAAGCTTCAGATAGAGAGGGCGAGAGAGTGAGAGAGACCAATAGAGGAGCAGAGAGCGTCCACGCATAACTGGAAATGGAACGCATTCAGCATGGGAGCTTTCGCTCTTAAACTTTTCTCTTATATGTCTGTACAGTTGTTCAACCAATGGCTTCTTTCGTTCGTCTCTTTCCCTGTCAAACTGCTTTTTGTAATTTTTTTTCTCTTATCACATACACAAAGATATTGTGGGTAAGCTGCCAATGGGGCAGGTAATAGTTAAGGGAATGAAATTTCAAATTTGCCGCTATATATAAAACTGTTTGTACGTTATCTGGTGAAAGTGCACAATAAAATGGGTTTTCCGGAAATTCCACCCGCAAGTGTGGACAAATAGCTAAAAACCTTTGACTGTAAGTTTAAAAGCAATTGTAAAAGTCTTTGTGAAAATGCTTCTGATATGTGTTTCCTCTTTTCTGTTATGGCGTCTTCAATTCTCTGTTCCATCTAGACCTACCAGGAATGACCTCCCCTTATTCCTACCTACGTGCGTTAGAGATAAGGTTTTACACAATTCTTCTCGCATACTATAGTTTGTGTCACGATTTCTTCTCCGGACTTTCCCTACCCATAATAAAAAAGTTCCTTTCATGATACCTACGGGAGCTGACTGACCATTCTCAGCTATGAGTAGGGGCATAGCTTGCCGGTCAGGCAATACATTTTCCCCCACCGGGTCGGATATTTCCCATTACTATCTCTTTATCCTATCTAATTCAGTCTCTATAAATTTGGAATAGATTATACTTTATAAAAAACTTCTTTCTTTCCTTTTCCCTATTTGTTTTATTTTCCTAAATAATATAGTAGTTTTTTTTTTTATCCTTATAGAGGGTATTATAATTTTGTCGTAAAATGTGTAACGCATAGAAGGAGACATCTCCGACCCCATAAAGTATATATATTGTTGATCAGCATCAACAGCCGAGTCGATATAGCCATGTCCGTCTGTCCGTCGGTCTGTTTCTATGCGAACTAGTCCCTCAGTTTTAAAGCTATCTTTATGAAACTTTGCAGAAGTCCCTCTATTTTTATTTCTTAGATACGGGCAAAGCACTATGAGCATTATGAAAATGTTGGGTGAGCAAGGGTATCAGATCTTCGGCGTGCCGAAGATAGCCCTTCTTTCTCGTTAATTTTAACTTAAGAACACTATTTTCTCTACTAACACCCTTCTTGTGAACCGTAGTCTCTAGAAGCGTTGCTGAAAAAAAGTTTCTGTAAAAAGAGGCAGAGCTGCCCGGACGGGCCAATAAAAAGACTCCCTTGGTCGGCTAAAACGGTATAATGTACTTGAGCAAATATGCGTAACAGGCCCCATAAAGTATATATCTGGCCGTCCGGCCATATGTATGAACAAAAGGAGCTCTGAACCTGTGAGAGCTAGAGACTTGCAATTTGAAACTTAGGTCCACTTTTGTGTTGGTAGAAGAGGGTTCAGGGTATACCCTAGTAGGGAACTCCCGGCTACATGTTACGTGTTATTTATGCCTTCATGCACCGCACTTTAAAGGTCACTAAAAAATAAATAAAGAAAACTGATTATGATAAATATTTTTGCAGATCTTGAGCGTGACCCACTTCAATTGCTGCTTTATGAGACTAAAATCAGTGTATAGAAAATCAGAGCAGGAGCTTAACAGCCAAATGTGTCGACATAGAAAATTAAACGCGCAATTAAAGCTTACATCCACAAATTGTTGCTGGCCTAAACGAATTTCCGACCGAGAGCTGCTGGGTCAAAAAATGAAACTTTTCCATACAAATTGGAAAATGTTTGCTGTCACTTTTCGGGGCGACAGGCAATGCGTACTTTATAGTTAATGCAGGGCCCAGTCTCAAATCACGTGACGCAGTTTAATTGCGCCATTGCAGCTTCATAAAATAATCATCTTGAGGAATTTACCGGAGCTCTATAGGCCGTGGGAGGCGCCACACTGAAGCAGGCACAGCCATGGCAGAAATTGTTGCCATCCGGATGAATCAGGCTGGACACATGGGGGTTCGTATATCGAAACTTGTTGCTTAATGAATAAAATGAAATGGGATTTTAATTTTATATGACAAGTGAAACAGCTGCAATTGACAAGCAAGGCAAAAGGAATAAGAACCAGAACATTAATGTGACTGGAGTGCGATTCGCAGTGTAACCTTGCAACGCCTGTTTGTTTTACTGTACCTTGCGTGTAATTATCTTTTTAATATCCTCGCAGAGAATTATAATTTTGTCGTGAATATATTTACCACTGTTGCGGGTGGGATTTTCCAAATCGCTGAAACACGAATTTATTAAGGTCATACGTAGAGCTCTGAAAATAATTATGAAGCAAATCGGACATAACGTAAAACTTCCACAAAAAAATCTTAACCTAGGATTCTTTGATTCTGTGGAAAATGTGACACACGTCTCAAATGATTTTTATATATTGAAAATGAATTCCAGCGCTAAACGTCATCCACCAAATCTTTGGCAACCATTTTCAACAAGGAGGGATTCATTTTTGGAAGTGTGAAACACCCTTCAAATGAATTTAAACAAAGTTCTTCGAAATTGAGTTTAAGGCCGATCGGATGGTAAACAAAAAACTTGCGTACAAACGTTTTTCGCGATTTTTCCATACTTGCAGGTGGAATTTCCCGAAACCCTGTCTTAACGTGCATTTTTCAGCTTCCTAGCTCTTACGGTTTGGGCTGTGAGTTCAACACCAATCAGTCAGCCAGTTAGCAGTTTTATATGTAGAGATATATACTAATGTATTTACCTCTGGTGGCATCGACATACCGACATTCGTGATATTCACAGCGACACCTAATAAGAAATATTGCGTTTGCAAATGAAAGCAAATAAAACGCGACAAAAAATGACTTAGCAAGGGAACCTAAGTCGTGGCAGAATATGCAAATAACTGTGACCGAACGGGGCAGAGAACTCTGGGCCCAATGACGACTGGCGATTTCGCTGGATCTTCCGGTTATATATTACGGTAATAGATGCCGGAAATTGCAACAGAAATACTATGAGCACAAACACACTCACACTGAGTGAGCATATGACGTAGCGGCATGTGGATGATATTTGTTTGCAAATTTTAGTCGAATGATTTGTATATGTTTGTTCTTGGAATTTGATCTATGCGTGCTTTCGCTGCCAGAGGTATTTTCCACTCAATTCCTGGCGTTACGTATGCATTGCAAACATTTACCCCCCCTCCACGGGGACGTCCGCGTCTCATAGGGCAGTCACATTTGCATATTTTCTGAACTACTAGTTGAGAAGCATCTGAAATATTCGCAGCGTTCACACAGCAAAAAATAAGTAAATAACGTTGAGCTTGAAAGACTAAAGATAATCTTAAAGCAGGTGCTTTTCTATGTAATAATTCTGTTTCCTGTGCGCTATCCTATCACACTATTTTAAGGGGATGTATATAGCATTAGTCAGAGTTTGAGAAACAGAGATATTGAACTAGGTAATTACCTATTTATTTGTTATGAACCGTCACTTAATTTTATTAACTGTATCATATACCAATATTAAGGAACCAGGGTTAGTGATATATAAGTTTAATTTACATTTAAATTGTTTGCCAAAGGCAAACAACTAAATATCCAAACGTCAAGCCATAATTAAATTTAGGTTTCTGTGGAGCTCTGCTTGTCGGAACAACAGCTATTAACAGACCATCATCCAAAATATTCCTGTCCCCAAACAATATAAAATAAAACCCTAACTGCGCAGCGTTATGCTCAAATGAAATTGATATCATTAAAAATATAGAAGAGCAGACTCATCGGCGGTTGACGCCAAATAAGCAAGACAATGTGGATACCGAGCTGAGCTGTGCTAATAAATGTCCTGGCACTAGAAAACGAAATAGAAGAAAATAGGCGCATGACAACAAAAGTAATTGTGAACGGGGCGTGCGCATAACGTAGATGAACAATCGAGTACACTTTGGAGATGTCGTTGTTAAGCCAGCATAAAAATTTTATTAAATGATTAAGCCAATGTGTCAGTCGAAAGAGAGCCGCCTAAAAGCAGGCAGTGGAATTTATCAAAATTTGCTGCTGTGCACAAACACACACATCTTGGACTGGGACTTTTGAAATTCTGTCATCCTTGCCGTTGTGTCTGATTTGTAACTGCTAACTGCTCGGCGCCAGCTCATACCATATAACATATAACATCATTAATTATAACACTAGCATAGAACGCCTTCGTTGTCATTTTCGACTCGGCTGGCGTTGGCGACATTCATGAATTATTCAGTTTGTAGGCTGTGATCCTTGCTATTTCTTTTGTCTTTGTGGCGGCGACAGTCGTCTGCATCTCCAGGCTCATATACTTGTTACTATTACCCTTAATTTTCATGTAAAAAATGTACTTTTATTTATTTTAATAAGCTTTTTGTTTAAAAAACTGTAATTTTTTCTAAACTCATAATCTTGATGTAACTAACCTGGTTTGGCTGGTGGTCAGTTGGAAGTGTGTTCTTTAAATTCATTAAAATTTAAAAGATTCCTCTGCATTAAGCATCGGCATGTGATTTCGCACTCTCCCTAACCTTTGGTTACAATCTTAAAAATTAAAATTAATAATTATCGTAAGTTGATTGGATTCAATTAACATTAGGGCATAAAAGCTAATGAAGATTATAAAAAAAAAAACAAGGGGAGTTTTCTGATGTGCAAGTTAAGTTGTTAAGTTAATTAATATCATTCGAAGAATAGTATTCCTATAAAAATGCATTCTCAATCACCATATCAATAAATCACTTTTCAATCCAAAAGTATCGAAGACATTAAATAGCTTCGATTTAAGCAAACAGACCAAATCCAATTCACAAATCTCCCGAGTAGATATTAATCTATCAAGTTGTCGTCGGTCAACTGTTGACTAAAGTCTTGCAATACGAAAACATAACTCAGCTCGAAACTTCCGTCTGCATATAGGCCTGAGCCTTTATGTAAATGCGTATCCTCACATATCTGAAGCGTTAGCTCGGTCGCAGTCGCCGCGACAATTCACGGGGTACCCAACTTATACTTATTTCCGCTTCCGGATGCTTGCTGACTATAATTTGCGTGAGCCCCGCGGATGCTCACGCCCACATGCGCTGTTAGGGGCAGCCAACAAAAGCTTATGCATAAATTATGAGCAGAGCCGCCAGATAAGTGCGATAAATTATCAAACACCAAAAGAGCCGAATGCAATCTGTTGCAGTTGTCCAAACTCCGTTCTCTCCCTTACGTTGCTTGCTTTCCTTATTTTCTTTCTACACACACAAACTCACCCACACATAAGTACGTGTAGTCCAGAGGTTTTGTTTTGGGTGTCAAAAAAATACTTACACACAAACAATGTCAAAAGCACATACCCAAAACACACACACACATACACATGTTCTTTGTTTTGTCTTAAGCAGCCCTGCGGCAGTAGCTGGTGTTGTTGTTATAGTTGACGCCAGCGCCTAACAAGAGCCGGAAGTTTCAACGCACTGCGAATTGTGGAACTATTGTTAAGCTCCATTGTCTTAACTGCTTTAGAAATTTGTTTTTCGAATCATTTTCATTCATTCAGTTTTATCGTTTCGTATTCAAGTCGAATTCTGTGTCGCTGCGCTATTGCCTTTTGCCTGCGCTACTCGTTAGCTTGCGTTGCTTAATTTTCTGGGCGTGTTTTATGCCTGTAAATTTATGGCAAGCAAAGTTTTTGAAATTGCGTGTGAAAACACTTACACACTTGCATACTCTTACACAGACAGGCTAGCTGGGTCTTCCCAGTCAAGCTCATAAACATTCTGATTCATATGCAGACATGGCTCCCAGGCAAAGAAAAAGTCTTTCACTTTAAGCTGCTTGAGGGCGGGAGACAAGCTTGTGAAGAATTTTATTGTATGCATCAAGAATATACTCCAAAAGTTTAGTGCTACAGCCAGCAAATTCGGCAGCTAATTTTTGGTGAACCTGGCTAAAGTGAACCTGGCTAAGGCTAAATGACAAAAAAGTTAGGCGGTTTTCTTAACAGACAGTTAACAAATTAACAGTAATAGTTCAGTTAACTATTTTTTTTTGCCTGATAGACAATTGGCAAACGTTTGTCTCAAATTTTCTCTCTCTGGTAGTTGGATCCTTTCAGAAGAAGCTTAAACTGAACTAGAACTCTTTATTTTGATTGCCATTACGGAAAGCTTAAATGAAAGTGACTGCAGACTGGTATTGAGACTGACAATGCATGGATATTGTGGGTAAAAATTTAATGCACCTATTGGGCATCTCCCGCGTCAATATCCCGATGTTATTTGCTCACATAATTTTACCATGCTACACTTTAGGCAATTTAAATATTTATACAAATATAGGTTGTACATTTATTTACTCATATATACCAGAAGCTAAGAAAAACGTTGAATTCAGTTGATTTCGATTGCTCACGGCAAATTTCGTTTTCTATTTTCTAAGTGGAACTGCACTAAATGTGACAAGATGTCCACTTGCAACTCCAACTGAGTCGTTGTGTGCCTGGCCTGTTGGTCCTAACAGCTATGCTCTCTTATTAAAAGGGAAGCCACCTCGATGTTCTCGACTATCCACAGCCAACTTGAGATTTTTCTGGTTTTTAATGCCAGTTGACTTGGTCTGTCTCTGTGTCCTGTGTCTTCTGCTTTGTCCTGTGACAGCCCCTGCTATACTTTTTGCAGCATATGAAATTTCCTACTGCCTTTCTGTCACCCTCTCTCTCGTCCAGCATTAGTTTGTTATCTTAACTTGGTCCAAGTTGGTATATTAATTCATCGTTGAAAATCAATTGTTTGTCTTCCAGGCAATACACAATTCGTTTACAAATGGAATATATCATTTAATTTAATAATTAATATAAATTAAAAAGGATACTCTTTCTGCCAGAAAAAAAATCGACATACGTTTGTGTAATGACCATGATGGCAAAAATGATATAAAAATAATAATTTTATGTTGATAAACAAGGGCAAGTTTAAGCTAGACAAAATATTTAGCTATTAAATAAATAGCTGGCTATTATAAACTTATATCATTAACAAAATTCTTAATCGTCCTAAATTAAAAGCAAATATAATTTTTATTTTTGCATTCAAGTTGTTGATGTCAGGCTGTGTTTCTATTTTATTACCTAAGTGAACAGTATAACAATTATACACTGAACACACTAAATATGGGTAAAGAGGGTATAATCTTTATCTTTATTACTGCTAAAGCAAGACAGCGCGAGCTGCATTTGGTGTTGGAATAAGAGGGTTCAAGGTATCCCCTAGCCGCGAGATTGCGATTATAACCTCTTACTTGTGATTTCTGCTCAAGTAAACGAGCTCGTAACGCGAGTTGTTTTAGCATGAAATGTGTAAAAAGGTGCTTGGTCAAAATCGTAGCCACTCTTCAAAGAATTTGCAAGATTTTATATATCTTTTACTGCTGGCGAAATGGAATATTTGCCTATATTGTGTGAGATTTTATTTGAAGGAATTGGCAATGAGATATTTAAGAGAATGTATTATCTTGCTATACGCATTTGGTGTGCATTGAGTACATTTATCCGAGAAATAAATATATTTTATCTACAGACGGCCAGACTGGTTGCCTACTACAAGCAAAAACTTATATTGACACACTATAAATAACATGACAGAACTTCTGATCCCTAGCAAAAACAAAACTAAATTTTTAAAAGAAGAAAGTGTTTGTTGTGTCGTCCATAAGGACGAATGGACCCCATTCTAATATGCATATCTATATATTAAACTAGTTGCCGTTACTGTTATCCGCTTATTCAATGTTATAGCACAGGGACCTCAATGCGGACACGGACCTTTGAGCTGCAACAATACAATAACAATATCAAACGCGGCACAAAATAGCAAAACTAACATGTATCTATGGCAATCCGTAAATAATGCCGTTGGTATTTGAAAGTACCCCATGTGATGTGTGCGCGTGTGTGTTTGTGTGAGTGCCATTTATCCCGATGCAGCATGCAGTGAGGACGTTGGTTGCATTGTGGGGCACTTTATTGGATTTACCTATGTTTAAGTTGTGGCTTAAATTAAACACAGCAGCTGCTGACATGGCACGATGGTTCGACAAAAGCATGGATGAGGGGGCTGGACAATAGCTGTTCCAGTTTTTCTGTAGCTTCAGGTATCAGCTTAGCTCACAGCATATGCCATAGATAATTTATGTTTTAAACGCGTGCTCCCAAGCGAAAGGTGTGTTTGTTTGAGCAAGGACAAGTGCAGCTGAAATCGTAATATGACAACAATAAAGATTCCCAAGATTGACTGATTAGACTCTAATTGTTCAATAAAATATCATTCCACTTATCAGACAATTCAGCATTTAATGTACTTAATATCTTAAATTTAGTAAATATAACTAATAACTACACTATATTGAATTTTTCTTAAATTCATAAATTTTATATCAATGGAATATAATAATAATAATTTTGAATAATTACAGAGCGAAATGTGAAGAGAAGATTTTATTATGAGCTCTATTTAACAATATATTTGTTGTTGAACTTTATAATGTGTATATAACATTTTTCAACATTGTGTGTTTTATTATGTGAATATTCTATTATTATCATATATATTTTATTGGCCTCATCTTAAGCGGCCCTGTTGACTATAAAGCTCCAGCCTGCTCCCATGCTGCAGCAGCCGGCTTACATGACTGTTCAGCTGCATACCAATGAGGCAAAAACACACATGTATTGGCTACAGCTGGCAAATGATGTGCCTTTGTTTGGGCTGGGCGTGACCTACGGAAGGCGAGACAAGAACATATCAAAAATGTTTCAGCCAATTTTATTTTCATGCTCGTTTATAGATTTCTATAAAATGTTGGATAGATATTGCTGATTGCACGGTTAAGAATTTAGCCTGTAGCTTTGTATATATTGTGAATTCATCTGTTGCTATATGAATGTATGGTTGTATCCGCTTGTGAATAATATTCATTATATATTCTCTGACATGCACACAAGCAAACAGAACAATACGAGAGAGAACAGAAAAACACACAAAAACCTAACCAAGCACAATAAGCTTAAACATTTATGCCTTCTGCCACACATGAATACGCACTATGATTTATGCATTTTTCCTATGTGCCACATTGTTGTAATGTACGAAAGTTCCACATACACACATAGACACAGCATAAAGCATTTTCTGATGATTCATGAACAGATACAGATGTACTTCTACATTTGTCGACAGTTGCTCCAAAACATGCCACACATAGTCACTTGCAACTGCAGCAAGTCTTTCGACACTCAGCACGACACGTGATTCAAGCTTTTCTTCCTAATTTTAGGCAATTATGTGTTTCAAATGGTAAATTTAATGGGTATACATGGACTCGAATTCGTAACAGACCACGCTACTTGCCGCCGCCTCTACCCCACAATTAAACAAACAATGACTCTTTGCAAAAAATTATAGATACTTGATATATATATACTATTCTAGAAGCAACATATCATTTGCTAAAAAAACAGGATTTCGATATCGATTTTTATAGATTTGTGGCGATCTGGCAGCACAGAAATTGATACATTTTAAGTTTTTGTCTTTGATAAGTTTGATTACACCATTTTGTTATTTAGCTCGAGCTCTCTAGCCATCAACATCTACGCATCTTAATATTCACTTTTTGATGTCTAATAAATAAAGCTACTATTGCTAAAATCGAAATATTATTACTTGTGTTAATGGATGTTGAATTTAAATTGTAAGTTCCATTCATATAACCAAAGATTGTTTGGAAACGGAGTAAGTTATCGATTATCGCAAACAAACTCGATCTGCGCATGGACTAGGAGGAGAGATCCTTGCGTTTATAATTACGGACGGACAGACGGAGATGGCTAGACCAAGAATATTTACATTAAGGGATCGGAAATTCTTTCTTCTGCCTGTTACATACTTAGTTATTGTTGTGGCTGTTTAGTAGAGACATAGAACGTGTTGCGGTCTGTCGCGAAACCTTTTTTGTTTTTTTTTTTGTGGTTTGTCTGTTGAGTAGAATCGTCAGCAAGTAATACGGTTAGTTCGAACCCTGCCAAGGGAACTTTGTTTTTATATTTATCTTTATTACTTCAAGCGAGCGCGTTGCGCGAACTGCAACCTGCAAGCGCTAACAAAATTACTGGCCAACAAATACAATTAAAATTATTTGGATTGGTAGAAATGCATGAATACAAGAGATGCTGCTTCCACCAACCAGTGGGTGGGGCAATATTTGGCTTGAAAAATTGTATGTATCAATTTTAGAACGTATTCTGCATTTAAAAAAACTTTATTGTCTTAAAAAAATGTTTACATCTCACTGAAATCTAGTTAATTTAAATAACAACATTTTTTGAGTATATTCGTCCACTTAGCCATGGTCGTGCTCGTAGCTTGCTTTGACTTGGCTTGGGACTGAATAAACTTAAAAACAAATGTCAGGATAGGGCAAAGGAGCTGCATTC